GTACTTTATGACCTAAGGATGTTTGTTGCAGAGACAGTAATGCTGCTTGTACTGCAGAAATTATTACAGGTGGACTGGACTAACCTCAAAAAACTGAATCAACCCTCAGTTCAAATAAGAAATTAGTGATTTTGTAATCACAACATCTTGGCAAAGCTACCTATGTTTCTGAAAACATACTCTTAACCTTCTGTCGTGGTTTAAACCCAGTCAGGTAACTTGTTCACTCACTCCCAGTGAGTGGTGCCGAGCTGACAACAATCAAGGTCCGTGTCCGTCTCCCCCCCCCCCTGCACCGGGGCTCTCCCCTTCCCCGCTCCCGGAGGAACGGGGAGGAGGATCGAGAGAGTGCAACTCCTACGGGTTGAGACAAGAACAGTCCAGCAACAAATCACCACCGCTACTATCAGCTAAAACAATGATAAGGGAAAATAACAAGGGAAGAGAATACGATACCACCGGCCAAGAAAACGAGTTCCACCCGGAAGCTCCTGTCCTTCCGGGTAACTCCCAGTTACCCCCCACCCCGGGCATGACGTGCTGTGGTATGGAATACCTCCCCGGCTAGCCCGGGTCAGGCGCCCCGTCTCTGCTTCCTCACAGCTTCCCCTCCTCCCTGGCAGAGCATGAGCCTCACAGAGTCCTTGGTCAGGGTAAACATCACTTAGCAACAACCGGCAACATCGGCTTCACCAACGCTGTTCTCAAACTAGAAGTCAAAACACAGCACTGCACCAGTTAACACAAAGGAAAAAACATGACTGCTACTGCTGAACCCAGGACACCTTCTCATGAAAACCTCCTCTTTCCCACTTCATTAGTCACTTTAAAATCTTGCTTCCATTACTATTTCTCATAATGCCCACGCTTCGTGAGTCATCTTGCCCAAATCAAATATCCCATGGAAAATATTGCCAAACGTTATCATCTTCAAGGTTAAAATCTTACTGCCACTCAGGGAAGACTTGATATTTATTTGGGAAAGCCATTACCTTGTAGTGAAACATAAGATTCTTCATGGAAGAAAAATCCTATGAACTCCAGGGAATGAGTCAACATTTAGCTACTGGGAATCTTTCCTCATGGCTCTGGAGCTGTTTTATTTGGTGTTTTCTCCAATGGCACTGCTGCAGATATCTCTTTCGGAAACCTCTATTTTATGTTCCCCCATATACAGCTACCAAGAAAGTCATTGTTTCCATTCCTCTTTCCCGCTATATACATGGTGTCTGAAAAATTACTTCCTCTATATCCATTCAAAGATATAGATTTTGATGTTGAAACATGCAGTAGGAAGTCTTCTGATAATCTGAAGCCCTATGGGGAATGAGGAGCTTTAAGAGGACTGCAGGGGAGGATGAGAAAGAACAAAGAAACAAACAAAAAACTTACAAAAACTCACTAAAAGAAAGAGAGAAAGTAAACTCAACATTTAATGTAGTATTAGGAAATATCTTTAAAAAAATTCATACAATCTTACTAGTAGGAATAATGCTCATTAAAACACATTTTGAAAGAAAACTTTAATGAGAGATTTGAGAAAATGCTCACAAAAGTTTTATAAAATTTTGTGTTTGTTCAGCTGATTCCACTTTTAACAGAGATTTTGCAAGGCACAGCTGAAAATCCTCATCCTAAAAAGGTTGTTTCTACATCCGTTGCTTTTCCTTTAAGATGAAATGGCAACTAGCAAAGCTTGTCATGTCTTCGCATCCCAACACCGTAAACAGAACCCATCTGCATCTGTCTTCCAGCTTTGAAAAATGAGGATTAGATTTTGTCTGTTTAACTTTGTCTGAAGTTTTTATAAGATCATACTGTGGTTGCAGTAAAACATCAGCTGTAAGAGTTCTTTGTTTATTGCCCCCTTAGGTAAAACTTTGTAATCAAAGAGAGGTCAATTGTATCAAAATAGAAGTTTGCCAGAATTTATCTGGCATAAATTCTTCTCTTAAGATTTTCTTATGAAGTGTTACTTCTGAAAAAAAGCCCACTAAGTATTATCCAAAATCTAAGAAATTACTTTACAAGACTAGAAATATAAATTACACAGATCTGAATACAAAGGACAGGGCAAGCACTGGATCTGAAGGCTAATCACAGTCAGTATCAGATCAGTAGTAGTAAAGCATAGTTTAAAATACGTTTATACAGTGCATTCATTATAGGTAGATACAAGGCTAACCACTGTATATGATGAAATCGGATGATTTGCAAGGGCAATGCACATTGGCCAAAAAGAACTTCTAAGAACTGAATTCCTTTTCCAGAAGTCAGAGTAGGAAACATGCTGAAAATTGAGAATCCTGGGTTTCAGTCCACTGTGACACTTGCAGCATTCAGTAGCCTCTCACTAGATGAGTTTGTTGCTACCTGTAGTGCTTAAAAAAGGTTTGCAGGGGGGCCTTGGGAATGTTACAATGTTGTGATGTGCCGGCTGAAATAACTTTTGAAAATAAAGTGGCATTTAAAAACCTAAAGCAAAAGTCACCATTCAATCTTTATATATTACTTGCCTTCATACATGGAGGTAAATATTCCATACAGCCATATTACATGGAAAGATACACGAGACCTGTGCTAAAGATTTACAGACATAGGTCTTACTATGAGAAACAAAAAAACTAAAAAGTAACCCACCAGCAAAATAAGAAAAAATATCTCCCCAAACTCAGCAGAAATCTTTCTTGACAAATAGAGGTTAATATATTTTCGACATTGAGAATATTAACTTTTTGCACTATGGGGACTCATTCTGTCTTAGTCTGAGCTAAGCATCTTTCTGTTACATTACATAGATAACCTGTCAGCTGTTGGTCTATTCCCATCAAGATATATAACAAATGTCCCACTACTGTCCATGGAGTTAGCGTGTCACCTAGTTTATCTTTGTCAGTTTGTCCTCTGCAATCTCGGTGTTGCCAAGTTTCATGTTATTTGTAGTTTCCCTTAAAACTCCCATGGCAGTCCAAAATTCACCTTAACAAGAAAAGATTTTGGGGATGTAAGCAAGAGAGTTGTCTGATTAATTTAACCTTAAATTTAAAGCAACAATTCAAAATAGATTTGAAGACTGTCTTTTTCATCACTGACTGCATTTTCTCCATTGGTTAAAGACATATACAGAATCATAGAATCGTAGAATAGTTAGGCTTGGAAAGGACCTTAAGATCATCAAGTTCCAACCCCCCTGACATGGGCAGGGACACCTCACACTAAACCATATCACCCAAGACCTCGTCCAACCTGGTCTTGTTTTTACTGTAGAAGTCTAAAGGTGAGATGACTTTATTTGCACACAGTTTGCAACCAAAGCTACATTTCTAGTAAGTTTGGATTTTCTGCATTCAGTCATACAAATGGTAGCAAAACCTCTGTCCTTGTTAGTAATATTCACAAGTACTTGGCACATATTTCTGGTTTGTTTTCAGTGCTGTGTTGACAGAACACTCACAAAGGTGGAGGTATGGCTTTACATGTATTTTCTCTGGCAGAAAACTCTGGTTGAAAAATTCCTGAACTGCTACATTTCTTCTTTATCCTAACTTCTCAATTTAATACTCCTTCAGTTGTGCCAACACAGCAGTTCACTGGGCCATTCTGTAAAAAACAGAATGCTGGTTTACTCTCTGAAAGAAAAGTTCTGGTCTTTTTTCTAAATCTCTGCCACCTCACTTTTCAGAATAGTCTTACAATGCAGCTGGAGGAGTGAACTAGAATCACAGCCATCTGGGCAAGACATTTTTGCCCTGTCTTTCCAGTGGAATAAAATATATGCTACTGCACAGAGGGTTCGAAGAGTTAATGAGTAGGAAGCCGCATCTTGCAGGGGCACAAAATGCAATCAGGGGCCTTCTAAGCCTAAATTTGGTATCAACCAGATTTTTAGTATCTTTTTGTAGTCAGTGGTGTTCAAGTAATTAGTAATTTTCTGCTACCTGTAGGCACATCAGTAAATAATATCTTCAAGCCCCTGTCAGTTTTCTAGGTGCCAGGGGAGAACTTGCTATGGGGCTTCACAGAGAAGTGAACAAATCTCAAACGGACCTGTGTGAGGACCCTTCTGACACTGCTGATGCAAAAGTGTTTGTCACATTTCAAGATCAAGATTAAGAGGCTCAAGATTTAATATAGATTTTCATATATAAAATGATAAGATTGAGGAGTGAATGTCACTGTTCTGACCCAAATGGTACCTGCAGTGAATATGTCTTGATTGAAATTGGCCATACTGTCACCTAGATGCATGCACACTCAGGTAGTCATCTAAACCATCTGTCCATGTACACAGGTATTCTGACTGTCACCACCCTACAGTATTATATTTGTCTTCTTCACTTAGTCCTTCCATTCATTTCCTGAGTCGTTTATAAATTTATCATAAGTCTTAAAGAGTTTACCTGTTTCCTTGTACACAACTGTGAATAAAGATTATCTATTGCTATAGTATTGTGATTACTATAAGAAGGCAGCACCACCGTACTCATAACCCATGTTTGCTAAGCACATCTGACCTGAGAGAATAAGAAAACTGAGCAATTGAACAATCACAGTTAAAGCAATAGAAAAGAATTGGTAAATAAAATTGAATCATGCTTATACTCAAAATAACCAACAAGTGAAATTATGCAAAAATACTTGCAAATTATAGTTTTTTCTCTGAGGTTTACATTAGATGGACTAACTGTAGTACTGTTTAAACATGAGAAGCAGTTTATTTGTCTTTGTTGTTCTTGCTTTTGCTTCACGTGCTGCATATAAAACAAGAATGAGTTAGGACTTAGATACTTTTCCAGCTCTGTAAGTACAAGTTCATTCTCCAGCACCACTGATTATAGGATGGCACAGAAGAGGAAAAAAAGAAAACATTTATCTTCCCCACTACCACACTAGGATTATTAATGAGGCTGGGAACAATAGAATTTGATAACCAGCTAAACCTATTAAATAAAATAAAAATACTGCACGTGTAGTTTAATCTCTTGTTTTAATGTTTTCAGGGTGGTGGTTTGATGCCTGCGGTCCCTCCAATCTCAATGGAATGTTCTATACAGCTGGGCAAAACCATGGAAAGCTCAATGGCATCAAGTGGCACTACTTCAAAGGCCCCAGCTACTCCTTACGCTCCACCACCATGATGATTCGTCCCTTGGATTTTTAAAGACATTCAGTGGTGAATCCCAGAACAAACCAGGATGACACTGCCCTCGACAGCACCACTATCACAGTTTCAAGGTAAAAGGTGAAGGTCTTCTTGAAAGCAACATGTAGGGATGATGAAAAGTTGCTTCATTATCACCCCATAACCTGCAAAAACTCTCCAAGTCACCTCCCCCATTTTGATGACTGGGGGAGGCTTGGTTTAGAAGAAGGTGGCTGCAATAATTTTCCAGAGAAGAACACCTGGATCTTTTTATTTGGCCCAAACCTGGTGCTTGTCAGTGGATATCTTTCTTACTTTCTTCTTTTTAAAAAAAAAAAAATGGTGCAAAAATGTACAAGATTATTCAGCAACAGCTACAGAATTTGAAGAACTGAAATATAGCAACTACAGTCTATTGAGTAGAATGTTATTCAGAAGTGAAATGCCAAAATTATACCCATGAAAATGGATTACAGAGACACCTTTTTTAAGACTCATCTTAAAGCACTCAAGATGACCACTCCAAATATTGTTTTTCTTAAATTAACTGAATTTGGATAGTGGATGGATTTATGTTAATCCCAGAGTCAAATAATATGTGCGAGTATTATTTTTCATTAAATCCTTTAAGGACATGTTTCTCATAAATAAACTGAGTCAAACATATAAAGAATGATAAGGGTAACAAGCATAAATTTTTCAGTTGCCCTGTAGAAGTAAATCAGATAATTGGCATAATCCCTGAGCTAGGATTTATAGTGTGATAACAAAAGTAGCTGTGTTTTGAGATTTTTCCCTTCTTTCATTAAAGGCAGTCTGAATGTCATGTAGAAAAATTAATGGAAGGTTTAAAGAATGTGAAATATTATCCTAAAGAAAACACAGGATTTTTCATGGAATATTTCCATTAAAAGTAAACAGGAAGGCAAACTGTTAGGGTATATAAAAATTACATAAATGCATAGCTTAAGGCAATGGATTCATTTTACAGCATCCTTGCATGTGCACAATTTATCATTATTTTTCTTTATTATTACATTTTTGTGAATATCAGAAGCATGCCAGTTCTACACAGTGATTAGGCTACAACTATAAAAAAATACTCATCAGAGTAGTATAGAAAATAAATAGTTGTGAACTTGTAAATAGTATGTTTATATTTCTTGTAATGGTCATTTGATTCTGTAATTCTGTGATTCTGTGATTTGTACAGGTAGCCCTGACCCCACTCTGAGGATGCAAAACTTCAAAGGATATAAATATTATAAGAACTTTAAAAGGCTGCTTAAAGGCTGTTAGCATGTAATTTTGTTATATTAAAATGTTGGAGAAGTGGGGGGCAAGATGCACATTTCAACTCTGGGAGAAGATCAAGTTCCTAAAACAACAAGCAACAAAGTAGTTGGGTGGCCGATGAGGGTATAGGGAAAGCTCTTTCCATTTACAGCCCCTTGTTATTTACTCATATGAGTAAAATCCATTTGGGAAAGTAGCTTGCAGTCATTCTATTTCTGCTATATATAAAATGAAAAAGTTTAGCTTGCTTCCACTGAAATCAAAAGTAATATTTTCATCAAGTAAATTATGATGAACATGACATGCAAAATCTGCATGTGGTGACTTTTTTGTTTGTCTGTTGCTTTGTTTCATTCATTAAACTGTTCCTGAGACCAGGCACAAAAAAGATCTGATTATTTTTTAAAGGATAGTGACAGAGTAACTGCCTTTATTTTTTTCTCTTCCCCTTCCCTTCTTTGTCCCTTCCCCCCCCCCCCCCCCCCGCCCCTTATTTCCATGGAATAGGATTTTTTAAACATCCCTTTTTAAAGATCACAAGACCCCACACGGTTCTCTTTGGTTTTAAGCAGGAAGATCTTTTCTTTTTGTGTATTTGTATATATTTTATATATATTTGAAGTAATCTTGCCTAGGGTTAATTTGCTGTTTTCTGCTGAATAAGTTACCAAACTGCTCCTGACTCAGCAGTTTTTTCACAGCTGTTTTGTCTCAGTTTCCAGCAGTTTTTTTAATGGTCTTCATTTATGTTCAAGCTATGTGGTCCACCTTCTTCCATGTTCTCAACAGATACATTTTTGCAGGTCTTCAATTTAGTAATGCTATTTTTGCAGATCCTATTGCAAAAGGAAAACCTCATTCAAAATAAAAGAGCATGATACTTACTGTTTATTTATCTGGGTTTGAAAAAACTGTGGATTTGGTTTCCTATCCTTTATAATAAAACATTATTAAAAATTGCAGAGTCTGTGTTTTGCTTTGCTTTAAGTATACCTTTCTGTGACAGGCTAACAACATTTTTCAAGCCTCCACCTCTCCTTGTATGAAATATTAATAAATTCACACAAAGCCTAGAAAAGGAGTCTGATTACAGATTGTCCAGAAATCTACATTACTAATCTTTCAAATCCATATTTTGGTATTTTTATTCAATTTCCTTGATTAAAATTGCAGGCCCTATATTTCTAATTTTAAGTTCAAATTATACAACTCTATCAATCTTTAAAATAAAATGTTTCTTGAATTCCACAAAGATAAAAATTGAAGTGTGACGTTTTTTTCTCTTGCCTTATGATGTGTTCTATCATCCATTCACTCATGTTGCATGGCAGTGACAAATCTCCATTGATCTCTTAGCCAGAAATGCCTCTTGCTCCATTTGTATACCTTTTAACACTACACGGATCAGTTTAAACATCTCTTTGTAGTCAGTTTATCCTCATTTTCTCAGGAATTTTTGCTTAATTGGACTTGTTCATTCAGACCTAGCTTTTTAAATCAACACTAAAGCTGTGAGGAGCTACATACATAAAAGCACATTTTACTGTTTAAATTGAATATGCATGAATTGCATGAATTGAAGAGTTACACTTAGCAAAAATGGTGTCTCTGAATTTGATTTTTTGTTAAAATTTTCCCTGCCTTGAAAGAAACTAAAAATAGAGGCAGTTGTCAGTGGTGATGGTAATTTTACTATTTCTTCCTGGTTTATAAAAACAAAACTTTCATAGGTCAATGGATGTGTTTTCCATAGCATATAGATCCTTAATTTTTAATATCTTTTAAGGCTGGAGATGTAATTTAATGTGCACTCTTCTGAGTGCCCTAGAATCCAGCACTGGCCTGTTAAGTAGGCAAGTAATCTACATTTATAATCATCTGTACAACAGGTTCCCAAGACACAGTTCCTTAAAAACCTTTCCAGCTATAATAACAACTTACTTCCCTGCAGATCTGCAGCTCAAACCACAGCTCTGAACATGCCTTAAATAACCTCATTTGGGATTGGCACAGCACTCTGTTCTCCTGTGGGAAGAACTGAAAATAGCAATCGCAATAAGAGCTGAACTCTCCAGGTAGGATCAAGCTTAATTTACAACCAGAATGTGCTGCAGTTGTGCCAAGAGGCATTCCTACCTACAATCTTTTACATAAGCTGGACAGCTTGAGGAGACAGGCAATAACCACTGAATACAGCTGATGCTGCTGGTGTTGCCTAACTCTGACTTGTGGTATGTGTACACACACACACATGCGTGCACACACACAAACATGCACATGCAACAGAAATACATACGCAGAAAGCTTGACACAGCCAATCAAAAAGACCTCTTTCAAATTTCATCTAGAGGAACTGTAATCTCAGGCCAATAATAGAAAAAAATCCAGAAAGCACAGAAAACTAAATAATTCAAAAGTGCAAACGCCAACAGGAAGACACTTTAATAGTGCCCCTGTGCACAGCTGGCAATGCTTGCCTTCTGCTGCCTGGATGAAGTCACAGGAAGGCAAGCAACAGACGTAGCTGAAAGCCAAAGACTTGCAGAAGCTTGTGTTCGCAACCACACCATCGTCTACTGGAACAGCCAATTCAGTCCCTGTCAAACCATGGAGAAGAAACCTTCCTTGACAGTCATTTGCCTTGCAAGGCCATGGAGGGTAAAACAGGCACATATGTCCCTTGCTGCTACTTAAACAGAAAACTGATGCATTGCCAGGTCAACCCTAGAAGTGCTAATAGGACTTCAGAAGAGTAACTCATAAGGATATGCTTCTGGGAGATGGGGGTGGGGAGAGTAGGGGAGTTGGGGGGGGAAGTGAAACAAACTCTAAAATAAGGAGAAGGAAAATTGGAGAATCCTGATGCACTGAGACAGGTAAGAAAGAGTTGAGGAAGAGTGAGATAGTGGCTGTTATAGGATAAGACAGCTAAGGAAGGAAAGGAGTCAGATTAGGGCGCTAAAGGAAAAAGTAGTGAAAGAAAGTCACTGCTGAAAAGAGTATGGAGAAATGACAAATGTGAAAACACAGAAAAAAGGAAAATGAAGAAGAATTAGGCAGAGGAATCAGTTAATATATTTATTAGAGGATAAGTAGTATCAATTAATTTTCTAAAGCCTGAAAGGAAGTGTCAATATTTTACTTGCTGTTTTTATTTAATATTTACAATGCCATGGAGATACATTGACATCTGGTAAAATCCAAAGCAATACTTAAAAAGCAGTCCCTTCTTAGAGGAATTTTTGGTAATATACAGCCTGAGAAACAGTTTCTGTTTTTAGCATGAGACAAGAACCCACCAGTAGATAAATCAGCTTTGGATAATATTTACTCTTCTACTAAAAGATGTGGACCTCCATCCTTTTGCAGCCTGCTCATACTTATATTTAGAATCATTGTCTGCTTTAAAGGAAACTACAAATCTCAGACCTGATCTTGTTCACCTTCATTGTTGAACCACTGGTTTGTTTTCTTTTGAGTAATGGAGCAGAACTCCTGGATATATGGATATAAGTTTTACTCTTCCTTTGAAACAAACCTTTCTTTTCTTTTTTCTTTTTTCTTTTTTTTCTTAATTCAAAAGCTTCTGCTTGGAGTTCGTCTTTCATCCACCAAAGCTGATTATTTAATCTCTCTTTGATAGCTTCCCTTAGCACTATTTGTTCTATAAACCCCCCAGACAAAATTCTCCTCCTGGAATCATGCAGAGGTTTTAGTCTACAGTCTTCTGCTCTGCCTTCACATGGAGTATCACACTGCCAGGCACCAATACTGTCATTTCTAAGGGATTTTTTTCAGTCCTTCCAGTAAATCTGGAATTCCTTGGAGCAACAGCATTGCAGGTCCTGGATCCCACAAATCCTGCCCCATCCCTGCACATTGAAC